GTAGATAGCAGAAAATGATTAATAACTATGTAAAAATATTTTCCAAGTCAAAGTTATATGATTGTTGAAAAATGCGTAATGCATGACAGATTTATCACAAAGCAAGCCTAGAAATGAGCAAACTATATAATATGGTAAAATATCACAAATTTCTAAAATCTTTTATTTTTAACTTGTTAACATTTCATTTGAAGGAAATTTGGGTTACTGCATTGGGTATAATAAGAAAGGTGAAGAAAAAAAGAACTCGAATATTTTTTTCTTCTTCATAATCAATCATAGTACATACACTTATAAACTATATAAACCCTTACAAAATGAAGTGACCCTCTTATTTTCAGGAGCTATGATAGCTTCAGAAGACGTCCAAACACAAGTAAAATGGAGCAGAGGAATTAGTTCAACTGATAATATGCTTGCCGCACAAACATGAGAGCAGAACTCAGTGCTCTGCACATACAAAGCTGGAGTGGAAGCATGAGCCTGTACTCACATGCTGGAGAGGCAGAGAGCCAAGGGGATGCAAGGGGCTCTCTGCTCAGAAAGCCTAGCCCAAGGGAAAGCCCCAGGGCCCAGGGCCCGACCTGTCTTAAAAAACAAAGTTGGTAACCCCAGAGGAACAACACCCAAGGTTGGCTTCTGACCTCCACACACCCATAAACTCCCCTACCCGATACACACACCACAGGAAAAGTACAGAAAGAAGTTAGCAAATATGAGAATTTGGTTGAATTTGGTACTTGGGGTGAGAAAAAGGATCACAAAAGATGAGTTATGAAACTGAAGATCATGTTACACAAAATAGCTAGATTCACAGAGACACATACTGCCTGTTTTCTCTCCTGCAGAATCTAGATTTATCGTTTTCAAAAATGAAAGAACTAGGCCCTCTGAATGTGGGTGACAGTTATGTGGCCAGATCTGTCTGGGGAGCCTCTGGCAGTGGGACCAGGACTTATCCCTGGTCCATGAACTGGCTTTCTGGAGCACATTTCCTAGGGTGGGACACCTTGCTCAGCCTTGACACAGCAGGGAGGGGCTTGGTCCTGCATCAACTTAGTATGTCAGACTTTGTTGACTCCCCAGGGGATGTCTTACCCTCTCTGAGGAGTGGATGGAGGGTGGGATGGGGGGAGGTGTAGTGGGGAGGAGTGAAAGGGAGGGAAGAGAACTGGGATTGGTATGAGAAATGAAAAAAACTTGTAAAAAAATTAAAAATGAAAGAAGAAGGGGTCTATTTGGAAAGAGAGAAGGCAAGAGATGGAGACGGGAGTGAACATGGGCAGTGCACATGGCAGACACGTGTGAAAACTGCATAATGGAGCTCAACATCTCTGCAATGAACGTGCGCAGGTGTTGGTACCGTTTACAAGGTACATTATGAAAATTTAACAGAAAATAACACTGAAAACAAAATTTTAAATCTTGAGAACTATTTAAGATAAGGCAACAGATAGCACCCATGAGCCTTCAAGCAACTCGAAAGCCCCTAGAGCCCTGGTGGTGCCACATCATCTCAAAAATATCTGGTTTATTCTAGTTTATTCTTCCCTGTGGTAAACTTACGATCAATTGCTTTGCTGGGGACTCTAAAAGAGATTATGCAACACTGTTTTGAGACTCGACAGAGAGCCTTTCAATGTGGTTTTTGCATAGTGGCTTTGGTAATGTCAGAACTCTTACTCTGTAATCTCAATCTTCCATCTTATTCAAAACAAACACCTCCCTGGGGGCCATAGGATTGTCCACTCTGGCCTCCACCTTCGCTAATTCTGGGTTTTAGGCAAGACACCACCTGCTCAGAGATCATCTCACAGATAATTCTCATTTACTTTGCTTTCATCTTATTCTCAGGGAGGTAATAGGGTTGCAAGAATATCAATTAAAATGTTGCTCAAGTAGACTGACAAGCAGACAGCTAAAGAGGACAGCAAAGAACACATACAGGTGACCCACGCACAGCAGGACAGTGGACAAGGAGAATGCAGAGGAGAGGGAGCAGACACAGAAAGAAAACAAACTCTTTGAGAAGTATAAACTTCATGCATGTCCTATTATGTAATTCTTTTCAGTATTAGCATATATTAGTTGTAAGTAATAACAGATTTTATCATGACACTCATTCAGGCATATAATGTGTTTCTTACCACATTCACCCCATTATCCATTTGTGTCCCACTCCTGCTGAACTAGGGGACTGATATTTAGCATAACTAGTCAGCATAGGTCTAGAGCAGAGGTTCTCAACCTGTAAGTCATGCACAACCCCTCTGGGGGCTGAACAACCCTTTCTCAGGGGTCATACATCAGATATCCTGCATATCAGAAATTTACATTATGATTCATAACAGGAGCAAAATTACAGTTATGAAGTAGTAAGGAAATAATTTTAGGTTGGGGGGGTCACCTGAACATGAGGAACTGTGTTAAAGAACCAAAGCATCAGGAAGGTTGAGGACCACTGCCCTAGAGTCAAGGGAGTTCCTCAGGACACAGGGGTCTGTCACTAACAGAGACTGCATTGTGAGGAAGTGCTTTGCTCAATGTGTGTGAAGCGGATGAAATGAGAGCTCCAGGATTAAATGTGGCAACTACAATCGTTTCACCTACTAGTCACAAACATGCCGTCAGAATACCTTTGGCCCTGTGTAAAAGCTGGTGCTATCAGGTTTTCTCCCTCAGCTCTCATGTTCCTGTGATTTATATAGCATAGAGAGTTGAAATAACAGTTCAGAATTATTTAAAATCTGTTTTAAACAAAGGAGTATTTCCTGAGAGTGAGTTTTTTCTTTTCAATGTTTCCAGTTTACACTAATATACTAATATATAAATGAGTAAAATATAACAAATAGGATACAGTATAGTAAACAATATGCTCACACGTTACTAAATTCCAGCAAAACAGAATTAAAGCCTGGGATCAGCAGGATGTCTTGGGCCATAATCCTTAGTAGCTGGCTTAGAACACTGACCCTCACATCTCGTTTTGTTTTCCACAAAACCGGAAACAATAGACTGACATTAGTTCAAGATACACAAGATTGATCTTCAAAAATTACACTCAACTTTATTTTTTATATTTTAATATTTTATATTATTATATATTTTATATTTTATTTAAAAATATAATATTTACAAATACAGGTCCTAAGAGAAAGGCACATGTGTATACAGCATTCTGAAAACACTACTCTTAAAGCAATTTCAATGTTTAAGTTAGCAGTACCAAGAGACGATGAAAGCCAGTTACTAAAAGATTTACTGCTTGGTTAAAATTCAGTTTACAATTCAAAGGCATTTTAAAATCTCTGTGCTGTTATGAAGCTTTATGGAGTTTACAGTGGAGATGAAAACAGAAATAAAAAGATCTGACAAACATAAAATGCCAAAGATATTTCCAGCATTATCAGTATGAATTTCCCCCCACCATCACGTTTTACCTTATTTCAACACAAATGACTTAACTAACTCCCTGAAAAGACAAGCATGCTCCCTAGGGTCCTGTTCAAAAGGTAAATGTTTTAAAATATAAATGTTTGAGGAACAAAGCTGAGCATTTTTTTTTTTAATTTTTATGTACATGGGTGTTTTGCCTGCATGTGTTTCTGTACCATGTGTCTGGTGTGCTCCAAAGCCAGAAGAGGGCATTGGATTCCCTAAAATTGTTGTTACATGCAGTTGTGAGCCATGTACGGGTACTGAGATTTGAACCTGGGTGCTCTGGAAGAGCAGCCAGTGCTCTTCACTGCTGAGCCCTCTCTCCAGCCTCCTATAATATACATTTTTTAAAATTCAAATGTAAGTTCCGGGGGGGGGGGGGCAGGAATTTTTGATCAATACTCTTAAAACTCAGAATACTGTCTGGCATATAGTATATATTTAATAAATATTAATTAATAATTTGACAAGAACCTCTTGTTCAAATAAAGAATCCAAACTGTATTATAACATTTGAAGGGGCTAGTCAGATGCACAGTGGGTAAAGACCATTTGCCTACAAGCCTAAAAAGACTTGACTTTAATGCTGGGACCCATGATAAAAGGAGAAAACAGACAGTTGTCCTCTGGCATCTATACAAGCACCATGGCGCAAGCATAATCCCCCAACACACCACACAAACAAATAAGTAAATAAAATGTAAAAAGATCATAAAACATTTGCATGCAATTTGAACATTGGTAGCCTCAACTCATTTACATATCAAATATTTTCCTTTTACCACCTACACTAATACAAAGGCCTTTTAAAGCTCATTGGTAATCTACAGAATGAATCAAGGGCTTTTACTTTCATTATTTCTATAGATTGTATGATCCATTTCAGTTCAAAAATTTATTCTAATACCTAAAACTATAGAAAGAAAACTTTAATCTATTAAAAAAGCCTGACATAGGAAAGAATATTAAAATAAAACATTTAAATTATTACAGAAATCATCGCAAAACAACTGAAATAATTTTAGATTTTTCATGATTTTCTTACTTCCTTTTAAAGTGTTTGCTAGTTCTCTATTCAGTATTGTTCTGTATTATTGCCAAACCTTTCTTTTCAAAGTCAAATTGAGATTTTATATAAGCTGTAATATGCTTCTAAAATTTTATATCAAAGAAGTGGATTTATTTTAATATTACACTCTAAAAAATTCAGAGCTGAAATGTTGGCTGAAATACTGCTTATTATAAAAGCCCCAGCATTGGTAAACTAATATTGCAGCTTAAATTATTCTTAATTTGGAAAATTGAAATTCATAGTATTTTAACATGATGTTTGTCATTTTGCTTTAGCTGTCCTTTGCAAAAAGAAGATTTAAAAGTCATTGACTTCAACTGGGCTTGATGATACACACCTTTAATTTAGCACACCAGAGGCAGAGGCAAGCCAATCTCTGTGAACTCAAAGCAAGCCAAGTCTAGTGAGTTCAAGGACAGCAGGACATCAAGGGCTACACAGAAAAACCCCATCTCAAAAAACAAGAGAAAACAAACAGGCTTTGACTCACTGTCAGGTTCCGGTCCCAGATCTGTATGCTTCCGTTCTGACAGGCAGCTGCAACAAGGTTCCCATCTCTACTGTACGTACACGTCGTGGGAATGACCTTTTTACCCTGCATTGTCCGAGGTTTAAAAACACTTTTCTGCTTCTTTGGATTTTCAACTTCCCAGAGCCTTACAGTCCTACAAGGAAAAGAGGGAATATCATTTATTAACAATAGATTGAAGGAACAGGTCCATAGAGACTACCTTGTCTTTTAAGGATTTTTTATACACTATAAAAATGTCACATTCATGAATATTCATAGAAATAAAAGTGAACCGGTTGAATAATATCAAAATATTATTTTGATAATTAAAATTAAAAGGCAAATGGCAAATTCTACTCCAAATCTCTCAGTTACTTATAGTCCATGCCCTACAATGCAATGGACACCAAACTCTTATGACTGCATAGCTTGACCAGGAGAGCTGTTAAGCATATGCCTCCTATTTAATGCACATTAATTTATAAATTATGCACAAGTATCAATGAACTGCTCTATATAGTATATTGCAGAAATTGCATTAAACTAAAAGAGTCTCGACAGAGAGCCCATGCCTCTGGGAGCTAAGCAGAAGCACAGCTCTCGGCCTCTGCGCTTTCACAAGCAGCTAGTCACAGCAGCCTAGGCCTGGGGCACAGACAGAATAAACTCCTACTCACTACAGGGCCAGGAGCACCGCCCTAGAGGAGGTTTAAATTAAAAAAAAAAAAAAAAAATCATTAGATACAGAAAAACAACAATCAGGTCAAAACTTCCCGGTAGAAACTATGCAGCCAAGACATAGGGAGAAAAGAATCTAATGTTTTATAGCAAACAAAAATATATTTAAAAAGCAAGATGAAATTAAAGCCTTTTCAAACAGACAAATCTGAGATAATTTACTGCAACCTAATATGTGACATAAGATATGTTAAAGGAAGTTCCTAAAAGTAAAATCCAAAATCAAACAGAAGCCCAAATCTACACAAAGAAACTGAAGGCAAACATAAAAGACATTTTAAAAATTTTAAATCTCTAAAAATTGCATGGCTATGAAGCAAAATTAAAATAACATATTGTGAGGTTTATAATACAAGTTCAAATAAAACATGACAGTAATAGCACAAAGGTTGAGAAGGAAGAATAGAAAAAGACTCTGGGGGGCTGGAGAGATGGCTCAGAGGTTAAGAGTACCAACTGCTCTTCCAGAGGTCCTGAGTTCAATTCCCAGCACCCACATGGTGGCTCACAACCACCTGTAATGAGATCTGGTGCCCTCTTCTGTATACATAATAAATAAACAAATCTTTAAAAAAAGAAAAAGACTCTGAAAAAGATGATGATATTTTATTTGTGCTGAAATGTGATTTTATTTATTTGTTTGTTTGTTTGTTTGTTTATTTTCTGGAGCTGAGGACTGAACCCAGGGCCATGTGCTTGTTAGGCAAGCACTCTACCACTGAGCTAAATCCCCAACCCCAAAGAATTTTTTTGTTTTTGTTTTTGTTTTACAAGATAGGGTTTCTCTATGTAGTTTTGGTACCTGTCCTAGATCTCACTCTGTAGACCAGGTTGGCCTTGAACTCACAGAGATCCGCCTGCCTCTGCCTTCCAAGTGCTGGGATTAGAGGCATGCGCCACCACCCTTCAGCTGTGATTTTATTTTTATGTTAATAAATAAAGTTTGTCTGGAAATCAGAGGTCATATCGAGACAGGAACAGCGGTCAGATGGTAGCCCATGCCCTTAATCTGATCACATGGCAGGCAGAGTCTCTGTGTGGTCAAGGACATAGCCAAGTGTGGTGAGAGGAGCCTTTAATCCCAGTACCAATCATAGAGACCTGGAGGTCTGTATAGATAGGCAGTGACAAGGAAGTCATGTGGTTTAGAGCCAATGAGAAGGCAGAACAAAAAGGCAATAAAAACACAAGTCAGGCAGGAAGAAACTCTCTCTGGGGAAGCGACAGCGGCGACGGCCAGGTGATAAGATAAGGTAGCTGTGACTCTCTGATCTCTTTGCCTACTTACCTATTTGCCTATTTTGTGTTTGGCTCTGTGTTTCTTATTTACTAAGACTGTTTAGAATTTCGTCTACAGAAAAGTTAAAGATGTAGTTCATAAATCTCACCACAATCACTAACACTTATATAAAACAAATGTGATAATGGAGATAAAATGTACGTAACAGTAACTTCTATTAGAACTAAGAAAAGCCAGTAAGAATAATGTAATCAACATAAAACTAATGAGCACAGATGATATGGACATGAGTGTCCTAAATGAAAGATGCCATCTCTAGAGCTTGACAAAATTAAAATGTTAATCAGTAGTTTAGGAACAAGTTTACAAAACAAACTTTGACAGAATGGTAAGCAGGGGCCACCTGCTTAGCTAGACTGCTTAGCTATGTGTGTCTCTTGGTTTTACTTAAACCCTATCCCATGTCAGGATTCCAGAGACAGACTTGGAGAAGCTGTATCGTCCTTCTTCCCAAAGGAGCTACACTGAATCAATCTAATTTAAAGGAAATAACCAGATTAAGTAAATAAATTTGACAATTTAGATAAACAAATTTTCCAGAAACAGGTAACAATCAGAGCTCACTCAAAATATCAAGAATTTACTATTATTCATTTATATTAATTCAAATATATTACAATATATATTTACATAACATAGCATATATGTAACAAGCTGAATTTGTAATTTAAAACCTCCCCACTAGCTGAGTGTGGTGGCTTGTTCCTCTAATTCCAGCACTCAGAAGGCTGAAGAAGGAAGCCTGCTATGAGTCCAAACCAGCCTGACCTATAAAGTGAGATCTAGGTCAGTGTGAGCAAAAGAGAGATCCTACCCTTACAAAAGAAAAAAAAACATCCCAATGAGAATACTCAAGACAACATTACTGTTGAATTCTCTCTAATATTTAAGGATGAAATAGAAGTTACCATATTTAATCTAAAAGCCCAGAACCTATAATACTCCAAAATCTTAAACATTTCAAAGTATAATACCTCTAAGAACTGCTTAAAATGATCAAAACTCGGGAATTAGAGTTGTCGACCAAGTTTTGTATCCTATTTTGGGATGGCACTAGCCAAAGTGATGGTACACACCTGTAGTCCCAGCACTCAGAAGGCTGAAGACAGCAGGATTGCAAGTTAGAAGCCAGTCTGAGCTATGCAGCGAGACCCTGTCTCAAAAAACACAGAAACAAAAAAGCAAACAGAGAAGAAGATCAGACTGCCTAATGTAAGGCCAAACAAGGGTTCAGAAGCAGTCAGAGGCAAACCAGGGGGGCACAATGGGACTGCAGGGTTCAAAGTCATCCACTGGGAGGGAGGTAAGAGCTCCCGGCTACAGGGTACCTCAGCAGTGAAACCTCTTCAAGCCTGCCACAGAATCTTCTGGCTGTGCTCTTCAATGTCTGTACTGCCCAGACTCATGCACAGCTAATTTCGACCCATGGGTTGTAAATGAGAGAGGATCTCAAGGAAGCCTCTCAGAAGGTTACAGCTCCTTCTTCATAGTCTTTACTCTTTTGGCTGGCAGTTATCTCAATATGAAGCTGAGCACCATGCATTGTGGATTTAATTTGCAGTTCCAAAATGCCTAGTGATGTTGAGCATTGTTCCACACACCATTTTTCTTCTTTGGTGAAGGAATTGTTCAAATGTTTGCCTGCTTTCAATAGTAAGTTGTTCATTTTCTTTTTACTACATGTTGACAGCTCTTTATTCTAGACACAAGGTTTTTTTTTCCTTTTGTTGGTTGGTTGGGTGTGTGCAGGAAGTGGAGTAGGGACACAAACCCAGAGTCTTGCACATGTTAGGCAAGCATACTAAGTTCATCTCCAGCTGTGGATCTAAGCTCTTGATGAGAAACGCATTTGTAAATTAGCAAGTATTAACCAAGACTATTACCATGACTTTTCATTTTTAAAGTGTTTCGAATAACAGATTTTTAAAATATAATATTGAGGGCTGGAGAGATGGCTCAGT